TATAACATGTCCATTCATTGGTAGGAAATGCATCATTTCTTTTGAAAATGCGATTCTCATGTCATGAAATCAATTATTGGGCTTTATTGATACGATTCTGTCATGGCAGGCATGGACTGAAACAATTTCGCAATGGATGGGCAGATGGACCAGCTTTTATAACACAATGCCCTATCCAGACAGGGCACAGTTACACGTACGATTTTAATGTAATGGGTCAAAGAGGAACCCTATGGTGGCATGCACATATATTTTGGCTCAGAGCCACAGTTTATGGTGCAATTGTAATCATGCCAAAACAGGGGACCCCATTCCCTTTTCCTCAGCCTTACAGGGAAACTAACATAATTTTAGGTGGGATGAATTGCTCCGTATTGGTGGGACCATTTTAATTAGACATTTAACATGTTAATATTTCCATAATTCTTGTAATTGGCGCAGGTGAATGGTGGAATAACGATGTTGAAGAGATTGTTAAACAAGGGAACAAGCTGGGATTACCGCCAAATACATCTGATGCTCACACAATTAATGGAAAACCAGGGCCATTATTCCCATGTTCTGAGAAACGTAAGCTTAGCCTTTTTTCTAATGGAGTATTAGCACCGGCATTTGGATTCAGCATACAAGGCCTTGCATTCTTATTTTTTTTCTTTTCTTTTGCAGATACATTTGCGATGGAGGTAGAACAAGGAAAGACTTATCTCTTGAGAATTATCAATGCTGCACTCAACGATGAACTTTTCTTTGCCATTGCTGGCCACAATATGACGGTGGTAGAAATAGATGCAGTTTATACTAAACCGTTTACTACACAAGCAATTCTAATTGCACCAGGGCAGACCACAAATGTTCTTGTTCAAGCCACCCAAGCACCTGGTAGATATTTCATGGCGGCTAGGCCTTTCATGGACGCACCATTGACTGTAGACAACAAAACCGCCACGGCTATACTTCAATATAAAGGTGTTCCAAACACTGTCCTCCCAATCCTTCCTCAGCTACCATTACCAAATGACACAGCTTTTGCATCGAGCTACAATGCCAAACTTAGGAGCCTAAACTCTCCACAATACCCAGCAAATGTTCCGCTAAAAGTTGACAGACATCTCTTCTATACAATTGGATTAGGAATTAACCCATGCGCAACTTGCCTGAATGGAACACAACTCACTGCATCTTTGAACAACATTACCTTTGTTATGCCACAGATTGGCCTTCTTCAAGCTCATTATTTCAACATCAAGGGCGTATTTAGAACAGATTTCCCTGACCGCCCTCCTAAACGTTTCAATTACACTGGTGCTCCATTGACTGCCAATCTTGGTACTACTTTAGGCACCAGACTAAGCAAGATTGTTTTCAATTCCACAGTTGAGTTAGTGCTACAGGATACCAATCTTCTAACTGTTGAATCCCATCCATTCCACCTTCATGGTTACAATTTCTTTGTTGTTGGGACTGGAATCGGGAACTTTGACCCAGCAAAAGACCCAGCTAAATTTAACTTGGTTGACCCTCCTGAAAGAAACACAGTTGGAGTACCCACCGGTGGGTGGGCCGCCATAAGGTTCAGGGCTGATAATCCAGGTACATTCACCAGAAACTCAATATAAAAATGGCATTGGAAAGAAAGCAATTTAAAACAACGAAAAAATAATAGTAATCCTCTACAGTCTAAACCAGTTCTTTTCATTCTTCAGGAGTTTGGTTCATGCACTGTCATTTGGAGCTCCATACCGGCTGGGGTTTGAAGACAGCTTTTGTGGTGGAGAATGGAAAGGGACCAGATCAATCCATTTTGCCTCCTCCCAAGGACCTTCCACCTTGCTAATTGTTTCCTGGTTTACACAGAAGTCTAAATGGCGCGGCTAACTCTTGTTAAGCTGATTATTTTTCCTTTGACTGTTTCCTGCAAAGGGCAGGAGTTAAATCGGAGGATCAAGTTTTACCTATGAAGGCAAATAATTACAATTGTATGAGGTTCTTGGAATTGTGATTAAAATCTTGTTGTGTGGAATAAAATGATTTGATCTGAAATTTTTTACTCTGCTTTTTGATTCTAATGTATGGTGTCCCTAGAACTCGACGCTTATCTTATAACATAAGGCAGGCTATGCATGAAGCGTAGTCTACCTCAATTCCTTAGATACAATATATTGGCCAATTAATCCTGGTAACAGCACAACTCGAATAGTTTTGCTAAATTTGCTCAATATGAATTCCGGAAACTCTGTTACTGAAGGTTTTTACCATGATTTCAATAGCAGATATGACTTATTTACCTATATAATTTATCAATTTTCATACAAGAAATACACGTATCAGCTACAGATACGTGAACCTTCGCATAGCAATAACACAAATCATTCATGTATGGTGCGCTCCAGGTGTCGGAGACTTCAATCATTTGATGTACTCGATCCGTATTCCTTCAATCGTTAGGTTGCTGCAGCTGGCCGTCCTTGGCAACAATGAAATTCATATGCTTTCATCTGCATCTACGTCCAAATCTTTCAATTGTTCTGAGACCCCCAATTCAAGATTTGTCTTCCTCCTCGAAATCTCCCCACCATGATCTCTCTCCCTGAAACCAACACCCTTGGGAATGTGAACGAAGATCCCCGAAACTACCCAAAAACGATCTATATTGGAATGATGTGCATAGAAAGTAGGGTCTCGTGCAGCTGAGAAAAATCTACCCATATCCTCCCTTCCAGGTTTTGAATCGCTCCCTTTCCACATGTGCATAGTGTTGTGAGGGAAAAGCTCTAATGTGCCAGGTCCATCACAATACTCCTCACCGGCTTTATATGCGATTCCCGTGAATAATTCTGTCTTGCTTGCACCAGATACCATTCGGTTATACATAAAAGCCAAGTTTGTGTGTAATTGCTCTTTAGGACTTTAAATTTTTTTCACCACAATAGTTTAAATCAACCGTCTGTGGTGGAAAATGTGAAAAGTCACGTTCTGTGTGAAACGAAGACAAATTCGTGTTCACATACATATCCGGCATCACCATTCCTTCAGGCATGTCCCAAGACCAAAAGGCCAAAGCAAACGTGTCATCTCCAATTAGACTACCAACTATGCGTTCGTGGAAGTAGACCATCATCCGCTGATAGGGAAAAAAGAACCATGTCCGGTGGATATCGAGAGGAACATTGGAGTTTCGTTGTCATATGCTGCAGTGCGGTAGAGACAATGCAAGTTAGCTGGACGGGCAAAACTTCGAGGGCCATCGTATGGCAGGGACTTCATGATTGACAAGGCCTTATTATATTTGGCGATGTAGTTTTCATCAACAAGGTGAGCTGGCCTGCGCAACCGTTTCGGCGATTGAGGATCAGGAAACTGGAAATCTACAAAGGCCACTGGCGATTCAACTCCCGAAGGGCAACAGTAAACAATAAGATCTGGCCTACCAAAAGATGGATGGGACTCTGTTAAGATTGGGCCGACAACTTTGCTCTTTACAGCCTTGTCCATGCTAAGGTCGTGGTTACTAGAAGGCCAGCCTGAGCCTCCCAGCTTCCCGAGTATCATGTCTGTTAGTTCCCTGGACAAATCGAAAGTAAGGGCTTGTCACAGTTCCAAAGGATCTACAAGGAACAAAAAGCAAGGAAGACTAACATGTACATGTCATGTACATACTGTCCTGATATATTGATGTAGCCAATTGTAATATTGGCTTTACATGTATTAATTAAATGACAAATCAATGATTAACACAGGACAAAGACTTGCACTAAGTACCCCATATATAAACACTGCCTGAACTTGATGCAATTCCAGGATTCGAATAGTCAAAGGCAGCATTGCGACGATGAGAGCTAACTCAACTGTAAGAATGGCTGGAAATCCAGGACCTTGCCAACAAGCTTGCCTTGAAAGCCTTACAATGCTCCAAGATTCCTGGAGACAAAAAGCTGCTTCTGACCATCTCCTTGATAATAATGAGATGGATGAGTGATGACTAACTGATCCCAGAAGAGAACCACCAACTGAATCAAGCATACAAAATATTCTCCGATTCAGTTGCAATGTCAGAGGCCTTGCTTCTGAGAGGATCGATCTAAATAGAACCAGCTTTTTAGGTTAACGAAGATGCAACATAATAGCAACGCACAAACAATGTCGAGCAACAATTGCTCGAAGTTGAATAAAAGAGACAAGAGATTTACCCAATCTAACAAACATCAGTGTAACCCACTAAATAAATATCGGATTAATGAAAAATCTCACAAATCTCGTGAATTTGATCGAGTTGAACTAGATCTTTGCTTACCCAATCTAACATAAGAATTGAACTAATTCGATAATCAAGTCAGCAGTTCAACCAATTTGACCGTCGATTTGGTCAGATTTTAATAACTATATATGCAATTTACTTTCACTTCAAACTTTTTGTTCTTATTATTTTCTTGCAATTCAAACAGGGATTCCTCTCTTCTTAATCAAACTAGCTTTTGATCCTAATATGTAAAATTTTAACACACACAACAAAATATTTTGGAAAGA